AAAGAATTTGTCCGCATACTCATTTTGCAACTTTGCAAAAATAGGACTCGCCTTAAATTGCTCAATCACCATGATACCCAACGGGGTCTCCAACACCCGGCCGACCCACTATGAGCCGACAAGAAGGAGGTAGCCTCTAACTTCTCTCTCTCCAATTCGACGCATAATTCTTTACGCCCCGCCTCGGCATTGCGACGCTCTTTCTTCTCGCTCTCCCAAAGGGCCAATAGTTGCTTATATTTCTTCTCCAACTTGGCCAACTTATTCTTCTCTTCTTCAAGAGACCCCTTGAGGCCGCCATTTTCAACTTTAAGAGCCACGTTGTGATCTCGGGCATCCACGTACAAGGAATTGGTGTTCCGCGATTCCTCGCGCAACCTTGCACATTCCTCCTCAATCCCTTTGCCATGCATACGCACCGTCGTATACCAAGTCAAAGCCTAAAAAAAAAAAAAAAAAAAAGGGCATAAGCATGTCGATCAAAAACACATAAGGCATAATAGAATATAACAAGTGGTAATAATGAGCCACTAACCCGGGAGAGGTCTCCTCCCAATCCACCCATCATTTCATCAAACGATTTCGACGCAAGTCGAGCTTTATCAAACTCCGTCGGGAAGCTCAACACCTTCTCCACCGCCAAGCTATCATCAAGTGTATCGAAAACCGAGCCGCCGCCAAAGTTTCGATTGGTCCCCGAAAGGAAATACCCTTTCCCGGCTCCCATAGGCAAAGGCGTTGGATCCGGATCAATAATCGGGCCCTTAGTGGGCAACGGAGTAACCACTTCGGCGGCGCAAAATCTTTTCTCTCTAAAGTCCAAGCCCGACCCGCCGTCCTCCAAAGATCGAACCCTCTTTTCCCTCGAGGAAGTAGAGGAAGTACGAGAAATGACGATGGGAGAGGGTAATATAAACCCCGCCGACTCCGGTCGAGCCCCACTCGCCGTCGGCCGCCGCCCACCTCCCGCGCGCCCATCGGCCACCCCCGCGGTCGGCACGCTCCGAGATCCACCCAAGCCATCGGTCGGCGTCCTTTCATTACTTCGTTGGCTATCCGATCCCTTTCGGTTATCATTGTCCCGCCCCGTCGATGGTTTAGTGAACTTCGACCGGGACACCGGTAACGAGTCCCGTCGACCAACCTTGGCTAATTCCTCATCCCTCATGGCACGGTATTTCTTCAACTCCGAGTAGCTCATCCTTTCACCTACAAACCACAAGGAAGCAAGAGCATTTTAAACGAGAGCTAAGTAAATAATATTAATCAAATAATATAATGGACTAATAATAAATAAAAACAAAAGGATAAGAAGGAAATGAGATTGTTTCAAAGAAAAATGGTGTCAAGTCTACCCCGAGGAATTAGAGTCCATGGGTCGAACGGTTTTTCAAAAAAACCGATTCCTTTGCACGACATTTGATATCCAAGCATCTCTTCTGTCACCAAAACGGGGCAACCACCATCCCATTTTGGCGAAACTAACCCCTCAACATCTCGAGCATACAAGAACCACATTTTCCAATCGTCCCATTTATAATTACCTTTTAGCAAGAACTTACACGGGGGCCGGGGGTAAAAATGAAAATGCGGCCCTCCCGATAGTAACGGCCTCACGATAAACAAACTATGGAACAATTCGGCGGATACCGGAACTTGTGCAACTTCCGCTCGATGGCAAAAACCTGAGGAAATATAGGTGAGCATTTGGAGTTAGTTGACTAATACAAATCCCGGCACCTCGACATATTTCTACAAGAAGGGGATTTGGCGGTAGAGTAAAGCCAACCATGAAAGGGCCGCCATAGAAGGTAAAGAAGCCAACCGGCGGAGCATAACACCTATCACCCTTGCTCGACATTCTAAATTCCACGTCTCCGACGACCCCAAGACAATCACGAATATCCGCCAATTTATCCGTAGCAAACAAAGTGTCAAAATCTAACTCCTTCAAGAGCTCTCGATCAAGTCTCTCACTCGGCCCAATGCCCTCATCCGACGTCACTTTTGGCAACCCCAACTCATTCGAGCAACTCCCATCATCACTACCCTCTATCCCCACATCAACCAACTCCAACGATTCCACCGACGGCGACCGCGGCGGGGTAGGCGCGAACGGCGAAAGCCGACCATCCATTCGGATAAAATGTTGTCGAACGATTTTCCCCTTCGAGTAATCCGAGCTAAGGACATGAACGCCGTCGCCCCAAGACGAGAGAAACGGACCAATAGACTCGAGCTCTTTGTTTTTCGTCGTCGCCTTGTGCCTTTTTAATTTTCGCAAATTACGATTTGTTCCGAACACATCAATCTTCCGAGACCATGCCCAATGCTCCGGGTCTTCCAAATCAATCTCCGGATCAACAACGACGGCCGCCCCACTAGCCTCGGTCGCGGTCTCCGGACCCCTTGGACTTGACGGCTCTCGGCCCATTACACCCGGACCCGACGGCTCTCGGCCCATTACACCCGGACCCGACGGCTCTCGGCCCACGATGCCCGGACCCGACGGCTCTCAGCCCACTACGCCCGGACCCGACGGCTTTCGGCCCACGACACCCGGACCCGACGGCTCTCGGCCCACTACGCCCGGACCCGACGGCTCTCGGCCCACTATGCCCGGACACGACGGCTTCCGGCCCACTAATCTCGGACCCGACGGCCCCCGGAAGGCTAACTTCGGACCCGACGGCTCCCGCCCCACAATGCCCCGACCCAACGGCTCTTGGACCAAAAACCCCCGCCCGGTTGTTTTTTGACCCGAAGGGTCTCGACCCGACATCCCTCGCCCCGTTGAATTTTGTCTACGACCCGGGCACCCCTCTCCTCCCAAACCGCCGCCAACGCCGCCAAAATCTTCCTTCCCACCGCCGTCTTCCCCCTCTCCCCCTACTTACATCGACTCATCACTTGACTCATCCAACAAAGTCCAACCCATTCAACCCCAAAAAAAAAAAAAAAAAAAAAAAGACAAAGGAAGAAGAATATATATGTATGTAGTAATTGCAAAAGGGGAGGGGAAAAGTGTGAAGAACAAAGAAAAGAAAGAGAAGATAAGATAAATGAGAGAGAAGAGGGAAAAGAAGAGTTAAAGAAAGAGAGGGGATTTTTTCTTACCTTGGTCAAAGTCTTCAAAGTGAGAAATTCTCTCTCTACAAATATGCTCTCCTTCAAAGTTCAAATCAAATGCTACTTAATGCAAGTGCACCAACCACTTCTATTTATACTACTCCCAAGATGGGCCATCCTCCTATGGCCCATATTGGGAGTGGGGGGCTTAATGATGAGCCTAAGTAGGTTTTTTGGCCCAACTAGAGGGAAAATCTACTTAGAGCTAAGATTAAAGCACAATTGTCCCACATCGGAAGTTTACGACAAACTAGTAGTCTATTCCTCCTATAAATATAAGGTATGATTCATTTGTATATCCATCTCTAATTTGGGTGATATTTTAGCCTTTGCAAAGTATCATTTCCAATATCTGACTTGAGCGTTGGAGTGTAATCGTCGGGCCCACCCCCGACGAGTCACATAGTGTTTTAATTTGTTTTGTAGGGTATCAAGTGGAGCCCACCTTTCGACCCCTTCGACACGTGGCAAAGGACCCCCGACATTCTCGTACTTGGAGACCGGCTCGTTGGGCTTCAAGACAAGTGGGCTGACTCGTTAGCATCGAAGCAGCATCAGTAAGATAAACCAATAAAAACCTAAATAGTAAACCTTTATATACTCTGTCCACTCTTCCTTTGTCATGTTGATGGTGTTGGTGGCATGATTGTAAATATTGCCTGTTTTCATAGTTAACGGCAACCAAGCTTGATACTTTTGTTTTAAGTAGTCATATCGATTCTTCATTTGTCTTTGACAAACTACAAAGTTATGATTTTTCTTCAAAGTATTCATAATTTTGGTCCAAGATTCTGACTTCAGACTATCTCCTTCTCTACCATTTAGAGCAACTTCTTGAATACACGCATCGAGAAAACATTTATCTACTTCACTGTTGTTCCATCTTACCCTATTATTTTGATCCGATTCCTCCATTCCTATATTCATGAATATTTATTTGTCAGATTATCTCTCTGATGCATCTACCAAAAAGGAGATTATAGATAATGGATTAAAGTAAAATATTAAATGCATAGACATAATACATGTATATATTCAATGGTACAATTTATATTTATATTTATATCATACAATTTAAATTTATATTTGTATCATACAGTTTATATCGTAGTATATCACAGTTTATATTTAAATGGTGATGCTAACATCAACAATAAAATTTGAACATTACAGGTGTATGTATATCATACAGTTTATATAATACATAAAGAATTAAAAAAAATCACATTTAACGTAATATAAAAGTTCTCACAAAGAAGAACATCACATAATTTGGTGGTAACTATTGTTAATAGTTATATTTGCTCTGCCATGTTGCTTTATATGTAAATTTAGAAGAAGTTGATTATGGTGGCTCCTAAGAATGGTGTCTACTCATTAAGGAATTAATGGTTTCTAATCTATTAGGAAATTGATGGCTATATTTAATAATCTTTTTAGAGTTTGATTGGTGTCAAAGATATTATTCTCAAGATTCTACTTCTACTATTTTTTTTTTAAATAGTAAAAGTAAAAAACGAATTACAACTACTCATGTGCATTAAGTAATTAAAACTTCTCCGAGCGATTGTTAGGTATACGACCACCGTGACCCGAACCTGGAATTACATAATATAACTTAAGAGCTATCAAATTATATTTAACAGTCTCATATACAAAGCAACTAACAGAAATAACCAAATAACAAAATGCTAATGGAAATATCTACGCCTTTATCTTAAATGATGATATTTCTTAACTCTATGTATCATGGGCACAGAAGGAAAAGTGATAGAATTGAATAAGTCTATGGTGCTATTGTGTGACGAGTCAATGGTGCTATTGTGTAAAAAGTAAATAAATATCAGTTTCATCAATGCTATCAAGAAATCTTACACCCCTGCTAATATATTTCCGACCATAATAATTGGCCAAACATCATAAAAAGACGCACAATTTTTTTTATACGGAAGCATAATAAACATGAGAATCGAGATATCAAATTGCATACCTAGGATATGGAAGTACACAGGTGGGCCGCGACTTCTCAAATAATGCTAAAGTACTGCTCCATAGCCAATACATAAGGGAAAAATAAACGAACATGATTACATAAAAAAGAAAATTCATCAAATATGCAAAATAGAGAAACGAAAGCAAGTTATCTGAACCAGCCCGGAGAAAATACGACCCCGAGTAAAAAACTTACTCGGGAATTTGAAGAACTGTCTTGCAGAGTTTATTTGGATTTTTATGACGTGTGAGCAGTAGTGATGGAAAGACTCGTAGGAAGATATATTTTAAGATGGTAGGGTTGGAATTTACAAGGTTATTTATGGGTAAAATAAATAAATAAATAAAATATTCAGAACTAGGTCTGGCCGAATAAGCGTGATAATTGCGGATGAATCGGTAAGAAATAAATCTTTCGGTTAAGATATTCCCTCCAAACACGCTAAATAGCATTACGCTGACCGATTCAGCGGAAATCTATCATTAAGAGGCCAATAAGAGGTAATCAAACGGGCCCTTAGTTACTCTTTACTTCAAAATTCTATGGTAAAAACTAAAAATCGTGTATATAGGATGTATATGAATGGGCAAATTTATCCCTGCAAATCTCACATGCAATGCACATATTTTAGCATTCCGGTCAAAATTGCCGAAAAATTTAGTGAAGGGGGCACCATGCAACGAATTAACGAGTTCAGGTAAAAACATGCAATTTTTTTTTTGTTTGGGGGGCAAAGTGCAAAACGGTCCTTAATTTAGGGGGCAAGGTAAAATATAATCTAAATAAGATGAGTGATTCTTGTAAGTGGTTTTTTTTTGGGTTTGTTTTTTTGCAATTAATATAAATAGTGTGCATAAAATCTCATTAACCAAAAAAAAAATTATGTGCCTATATGAATTTAGGTTTTTATTATGAAACAATTGATTGAAAAAAAAGGAAACTCATTAACCAATAAAAAGACACTATCTTGACATGTAAGAGAGAGAGATAAAATTTGAAAAATAATAATGTCAAATCAATTAATTAATAATATAGGTGATTATGGAAAGTGGTGTGTTTTTTGCAATTAATATAACATTGTGCATAAAATTTCATCAATTGGGAAATTAAAAAAATTGCATTTATTTCCTACGTTTCTTTTAATCAGAATATTGTTTAAAAAAACGAAACTCATTAACCAATATAAATACACTATGTAGGAGAGATGAAATTTGAAAACCAATAATGTGAAATTGTTTCATTAATAATATGGGTGATTATTGTAAGTGGGGTTTATTTGCAATTAATATAAATATTGTGCATAAAATTTCCTCAATTGGGAAATTATAAATATTGCATATAGCTCCTACGTTTTTTAATCAAAATATTGTTTGTAAAAAGGAAACTCATTAACCAATAAAAAGACACTATTGTGACATGTAGAAGAGATAACATTTGAAAACCAATAATATGAAATTATTTCATTAATAATATGAGCGATTCTTATAAGTGGGGTTGCTTTGCGATTAATATAAATATTGTGTATAAAGTCTCATTAACCAAAAAAAATGAATAATGTGCATTTATGTATTTATTATCAAACAATTGATTAAAAAAGGAAATTCGTTAACCAATAAAAAGACACTATTTTGACATGTAGGGGAGATAAAATGTGAAAACTAATAATATGAAATCAATTACTTAATAATATAGGTGATTATGGTAAGTGGTGTTTTATTGAAATCATTTAAACAAGGTTCAATCTCCTCAATTGAAATTTTTTGATTGTGTATCTTAGTTTTATATATAATATAGATTCACATATTTTCGAACACGGAAAAATTATAAAGTTAGATAAATAAATCTATCAATTATATATAGCACATATAAAATACAAAACTATTCATTTAAGTCACATAATTAATTCACGTAAGAATTTTCTAGGTATAGTAATTAGGATTTCGAAAATGTGGGGTATTACAAATTTATCCATCCAAGATTTGTTTCTCAAATTCTTTTATCAAATAATTGATAGTACATTTATAAGCTCTTGAAAAGTATCAACGAGGTTTAGGTTGTCCACAGTAATAATGAAATCAAATTGTTTGATTATTCTCATATGGCGGATAGATAGTGATTCCGTCGAAAGCTTGCCTCGTTTCTTTTTTTAAGCCTTCCCTTTT